GCTGAAGAGCCGGCGTTGTCCGTAGACACCTCCAAGGTCATGTGGCCGGCATAACTGCATAGAGCAGTGGTTCACAACCTTCCTGATGCCGCGACCCCTTAATACAGTTCCTCATGTTGTGGTGACCCCCAATCATAACATTATTTTTGTTGCTACTTCATAACTGTGATTTTGCTACTGTTATTAATCATAATGTAAATATCACATATTCAGGATGTATTTTATTAACTGGACCAAATTTGGTGCAAATACCCGAAACACCAAAATTTGAATACTGGTGGGGTGGGGTGGGGGGTGTTGATTTTTTCATTTGGGAATTGTAGTTGCTGGGATGTATAGTTTACCTAGAATGAAAGGAGCATTCTGAACTCCACCAACGATGGCACTGAGCCAAACTTGGCACACAGAACTCCAATGACCAACAGAAAATACTGGAAGGGTTTGGTGGATGTTGACCTTGAATTTTGGAGTCGTAGTTCACCTACACCCAGAGAGCACTGTGGACTCAAACAATGATGGCTCTGGACCAAACTTGGCACGAATACTCAATATGCCCAAATGTGAACCCTGGTGGAGTTTGGAGAAAATAGACCTTGACATTTGGGAGTTGTCGTTGCTGGGATTTATAGTTCACCTACAATCAAAGAGTATTCTGAACTCCACCAACGACAGAATTGGGCCAAACCTCCCACAGAGAACACCCATGACCAACAGAATATACAGTGTTTTCCTGGTGGTCTTTGGTGACCCCTCTGACACCTCCTCATGACCCACCAAGGGGTCCCGACCCCCAGGTTGAGAAACGCTGGCATAGAGCACTGTTACCTTCCTGCTGGAGCGATACCTATTGATCTACTCGCATCTGCATGTTTTCGAACTGCTAGGTTGGCAGAAGCTGGGGCTAACAGAGGGAGTTTACGCCGCTCCCCGGATTCGAACCACTTTTGCTAAGCAAGTTCAGCAGCTCAGCAGTTTAACCCACTGCGTGTCACATTGCCAGGGCTCTACCGTTATTTAGGTAGAGATGAACCAAACAAATACCCAGGTTGTATCAAGCAATTTAATTAAAACAGCACTTATTGCATGGAGTGCTGTTACCTTCCTGCTGGAGCGGTACCTATTGATCTACTCACATTTGCTTGTTTTCGAACTGCTAGGTTGGCAGATAATATAATATAATAATAATAAACTTTATTTGTACCCCGCTAGCATCTCCCAAGGGACTCGGTGCGGCTTACATGAGGCTGAGCCCATAATACAACAATACAAGCAATAACAACAACAATACAAGCAATTAAAATCAAACAAAACAAAACAATAACATAAGCATTAACAGTAGGACAACACACTTTAAAATCTATGAGTAGGCCGAATGTAATTAAATTTTTTAAAAATAATGCTGGACATGAGCGAAAAAGTGATGGGGCGTTTGTGGAAACATACAAGCAGACCTAAAGCAATATAAAGTGCCTTGGAGGACAAAGTGCTATGGGATCATTATTCTGGGAAAGCACACTGGAACAACCACGTCTTCAAGCTCCTCCTAAAGACTGCCATAGTTGGGGCATGCCTGATGTCCTTAGGAAGTGAGTTCCAGAGTTGAGGGGCCACCACCGAAAAGGCCCTCTCTCTTGTCCTCACCAATCGCGCTTGCGATACAGGTGGGAGTGCGAGCAGGGCCTCTCCAGATGATCGAAGAGATCGTGTGGGTTCGTATACAGAGATGCGGTCACGCAGGTAGGCGGGTCCCAAACCATTTATAGGTGAGAACCTGCACCTTGAATTGGGTCCGGAAAATGAATGGCAGCCAGTGGAGTTCCTTAAACAGGAGGGTTGACCGCTCCCTGTAAGGAGCCCCAGTTAACAATCTGGCTGCCGCCCGTTGGACCATCTGGAATTTCCGAGCCGTTTTCAAGAGCAGCCCCACGTAGAATGCATTACAGTAATCCAGTCTAGAGGTGACTAAGGCATGGACCACCCTGGCCAGAAGCTGGGGCTGACAGCGGCAGTTTATACAGCTCCCCGGATTTGAACCTGTGACCTTTCAATCAGCAAGTTCAGCAGCTCAGCGCTTTAACCCACTGCGTCACTGGAATCTCTTGTCTGCTTGAGGCAAATGTGAATGCTGTCCTTCCTAGAAGGTCGATCTCAGAAGGTGTTGGGGGACACTTGCTCAGGCCTGCAGTCTTTGTTATGTGGGGTCCTTCAGGGTTCAATATTGTCTCCCACCTTGTTTAACATCTACATGAAGCCACTGGGAGATATCATCCAGAGTTTTGGTGTTCAATGTCACCTGTACGCAAATGACCTTCAGCTCTATCACTCCTTTCCACCTACTCCTAAGGAGGCTGTTCATGTCCTAAACCAGTGCTTGGCAGCTGTGACAGTCTGGATGAGGGCAAACAAATTGAAATTGAATCCAGACAAGACAGAGGTACTCCTGGTCAGTCGCAAGGCCGAACAGGGCATAGGGTTACAGCCTGTGTTGGATGGGGTTACACTCCCCCTGAAGACACAGGTTCGCAGCTTGGGTGTGATCTTGGACTCATCGCTGAGCCTGGAACCTCAGGTTTCAGCGGTGACCAGGGGAGCATTCGCACAGTGAAAACTTGTGCGCCAGCCTGACTTGGCCACGGTAGTCCATGCTCTAGTCACATCCCGTTTAGACTACTGCAACGCTCTCTACGTGGGGTTGCCTCTGAAGACTGCTCGGAAGCTTCAAATGGTCCAACTCGGCAGCCAGGATGCTAACAGGAGCGGCACTCAGGGAGCATACAACTCCTCTGTTGCGCCAGCTCCACTGGCTGCCAATTTGCTACCGGGCACAATTCAAAGTGCTGGCTTTAGCCTATAAAGCCCTAAACGGTTCTGGCCCGACCTACCTGTCCGAACGCATCTCCTCCTATGAACCAGTTAGGATGTTAAGATCGTCTGGGGAGGCCCTGCTCTCGATCCCGCCGACCTCACAAGCACGCCTGGCGGGAACGAGAGACAGGGCCTTCTCAGTGGTGGCCCCTCGGCTGTGGAACGCCCTTCCTGCAGATATTAGATCGACCCCCTCCTTGCTGGCATTCCGGAGGAAAGTAAAGACCTGGCTGTTTGAACAGGCATTCGACTAAGCAGTGTGATTGATTATCGGAACACGGAATATCGGATAACGAGTTTGGATTCTGATTTCATTGATGAGACCTGATGGATTTGTTATATTGATGTAGTGATGTATTGATATTGATGTTTAATGATTTGTGATGCTATTGCTTTTAAATGCTTAATGATTTTGTATTGTGTATACCTAAATTGTTGTAAACCGCTCTGAGTCGCCTAAGGGCTGAGAAGAGCGGTATACAAATAAAGTAAATAAATAAATAAATAAATAAATAAATGCTGCAACTGGCCACCTTGATTAGCACTGCAGCTTCAAAGACTGGCTGCTTCCTGCTCAGGGGAATTCTTTGTTGGGAGGTGTTGGCTGGCCCTGATTGTCTCATGTCAGGAATTGCCCTGCTTTTTGAGTGTTGCTAAGCAGCAATGGAACCCAAGAAGTCCATTTCCCAAAGCCTGAGATTGGGCCCTCTTCCAAAATGTGGGGCAGCAGGGGCGGCTCGTCCATTACGCGAAGTAAGCGGTCGCAGAACTCTTTTTTTTGCCAGGGGCGCAGAGGCGCCTCTGTAAATGCCCCTCGACCGCCACTTGAGGAGCGCCCCCTCAGCTCACAACAGCCCTAGCAGTCCGGGGGGAGCCGCGGCTTTCTTGCCTCGCTGCCAGGCGATCCTCTTCTCAAAGGGGCCGGGCCTTTGAGCCTCGCCTAGCCCCTCTCGTTCCTGCTCCACCCGGCCACCGGTGTGTGAGCAGAGCCGGCGCTCAATTGTTCTCCGCGTTCGATCCCTTCCCCATGACCGGCTCCCTTTCCCGATCCCCTGGCGCTCCACCCGCCTCCTCTCCTCTCCCCAATCCGCGGGTGGGCCAAGGGGCGGAGCTGCCCCGCCTGGCTCGCTTCGGGTCCGGAGGCGTGTCTGAAGATCCCAGCGTACGCACCAAAAGTCGCCTCTTCTCCTGATTTTCTCTTCAGCCATTGGGACCGAGAGAGAGAGAGAGAGAGAGCCCCTCCGGCTGGAGGTATCTCCCACCTCCGCTCCCTCCTTTGTTTTTGTGCCTACCTTCAGGAAAGGTGGGCATCTCCACCTCTCTCTCTCTCTTGGTCCCAATGGCTGAGGAGAAAGTCAGGAGAAGAGGTGACTTTTGGTGCACACGGCACGCCTCCGGACCCAAAGCGGGCCAGGAAAGGGAGCAAGTGCGGCAAGTGTAGTTACTGGGATGTATAGTTCACCTACAATCAAAGAGCATTCTGAACTCCACCAATGATGGAATTGAACCAAATATGGCACACAGAACTCCCACGACGAACAGAAAATATATATCAATGATTGGTTGGGGGGGGGGGGGCCAAAATACTGTTTGCTTACCGTTGAAAATTACCTAGGGCCGCCTCTGCCCATGAGGTCCCTTCCAACTCTTTGATTCTATGATAAATAAATAACCTTGCAGCTTCAAAGACTGTCTGCTTCCTGCCCAGCGGAATCTTTTGTTGGGAGGTGTTGGCTGGCCCTGCTTTTTGAGTGTTGCTAAGCACCAATAGGACCCAAGAAGCCCATTTCCCAAAGCCTGAGATTGGGCCCTCATCCAAAATGTGGGGCCTTTGCTTCCGGGCAGGCGAGCTGGCTTTGGGATGCGCATCCTCTTCCCCCCCCCCACCCGTTTTTTTTCCTCTCAGGGACGCCGCTCCTGATTGGCTGCCAGGGTCCTGGGGGGCGGGGCCTGCGGGAATTGCAGCAGAGGCAGATGACAGCAGCAGCAGGAGCAGCATCCGCCACTGCAGCCCGCTTCTGCCAGGCGACGTCTGCTGCAGCCTGCTGCCGCCTTCTTCTTCGTCGCGCGCGCCCTGCTTGGCGCGTGGCTGCCTGCGCGCGGGAGCCGCCCCGGCCTTGCTGAAGCTCACCATGCGGCGCGAGCGCTGCTGCCCGTGCTAGGCGTCGTTGGCGGGGGAAGCAGCCGGATCCGCCGCAGGAGGAGGAGCAGCAGCATGGACGGTGCTCTTGCGGCGACCTCTGCCGATTCCCCGGGTCCGCTGCGGAGGGGCATGCTGAGTAATCCTGCCGTCAATGGGCGAGGACACGGAGACGCCGCAGATTAACCATGGCTTCCTTCGCGACCACAACTATGTGACCGAAGGTAAGCCCCTTCTTGGGTTGTTGCCACATTATGGCCTCTCCCCTTCTCTTCACTTGCTGATGCTGCAGCCACCCCTCCTTCGAGAAGGTGCCTTTGGGGGAAGCCCTCCATAGAAATGCCTCTTCTTTGCATCTAGAACTAAAACAAAATGAGTCTTGGGCCTCATCAGCACTGTCATGATCATGCAGAGCAAAATGGGTTATATATTGCAGCATAGGCTCCTCTCACTCAATAATATGAGTATATACTGCATTACATAGCAATGTAGATGGGGCCTTGCATGAGGAGGCTTCGCACTTCCTACCTGCAAGGTTATGTAAAGGCTGCCCGCGTGAACATCATGTGTGTCAGGGATGCTGAGCCGTCTTTCTTCGATGGTAAGACGCCACTGAATGTATGGCGCAACCACATTTTGGTGCCACCACCAAAAAAAAATATGCAAAAGATGTCATCCAACATTTTTTAATAATATTTTATTTTATTTCAAAAATACACCAACCATATGAAATCTTTTCTACAGAGTGGAGGAATTGTTTGAGATCAACATGTACATCAATTAATTCTGCTTATACCTGAAATAAATGATAATTCATTAAAAAAATGCAAAAGATGTCAGCCAACATTTTTTTAATTTCTTTATAATATTTTATTTTATTTCAAAAATACACCAACCATATGGGATATTTTCTACAGAGTGGAGGAATTGTATGAGATCAAAATGTACATCAGTTAATTCTGCTTATACCTGAAATAATTCACTAAAAAAATGCAAAAGATACATATGCAATTCTAAATCTCCTTTTAGACTGCCATATAATCTACTTTGAATAGATAATCTGGATTTTTTTTTCTGCCATTGTCGAAGGGACTTCAGGCCCCTTCCACACAGCTGGATAAAATCCCACATTGTCTGCTTTGAACTGGAGTATATAACAGTGTGGACTCAGATAACCCAGGGCCCTTCCACACAGCCCCATCCCAGAATATCAAGGCAGAAAATCCCACAATATTTGCTTTGAACTGGAATATATGGCAGTGTTGACTCAGATAACCCAGGACCCTTCCACACAGACCTATATCCCAGAATATCCAGGCAGAAAATCCCACAATATTTGCTTTGAACATGAGTATATGGCAGTGTGGACTCAACATAACCCAGTTCAAAGCAGATACTGCCTGGATATTCTGAGCTATATAGCTCTGTGGAAGGGCCCTCGGATATATCCAATTTTTAGACATGCCTTAGAATTGAAAAAAATGCAGTATAGACAAACGAGGTTTCCTTTGGTCTGCAGTACTGCAAAGCTTCCCAGCGTAGGGCTATCAAAATGATTTTTAAAATGCACACCATCCTGCCTGCGTGATCGGGGTTGTATGGAGTTCTGTGCCAGATATGTTACTGTTGAATCTGGAATATGGTGGTCTGTGGAGCTGGCCAGCTTTTTCTTACACTGTCACGCTAAATCTTCAAAATATCTTACATTGGTCTGTGTTTGATTATATATGTATATAAATAAAAATACAATGTTCATTTGTGGGATTAACAGAACTCAAAAACCACTGGACGAATTGACACCAAATTTGGACACAAGACACCTAACAACCCAATGTATGTCCTTCACTCAAAAAAATTGTTTTTGTCATTTGGGAGTTGTAGTTGCTGGGATTTATAGTTCACCTACAATCAAAGAGCATTCTGAACCCCACCAACGAAAGAATTGGGCCAAACCTCCCACACAGAACCCCCATGTGGGCCACAGCAATGCGTGGCAGGGGACGGCTAGTATCTATATAAATAAAAATGTAATGTTCGTTTGTGGGATTAGCATAACTCAAAAACCACTGGACGAATTGACACCAAATTTGGACACAATACACCTATCAGGCCAACGAGTGACCATCACTCATAAAAACACTGGAAAACACAGCAGAAGGGACTTAAAAGCCAAAAAATAAAAAATACATTACAACACATGCGCAAAACTACATATATATTTGCAAACACACATACACAAATATATACACTCACATACACATACACAAAACACATATACAGAGACTGGGCCACAGCAACGCGTGGCAGGGGACGGCTAGTGTGTGTGTGTGTATATATATATATATATGTGTGTGTGTGTGTGTGTGTGTGTATATATATATATAAATTTGATTTATAAGCCGCCCTATCTCCCTGTGGGGACTCAGGGCAGTTTCCAGCAAAGTACCAAAATGGCAAACGTTCAGAGCCAAAAACAAACAAATAACAAGTCAAAACAGTGGATAAAAAAATCTCAATATAAGATTAGAAAAATAACCGAAAAATAACTGAAAATTAAACTTAAATAAGCACGCGCGCGCACACACACATACACACACTTATATTATAGATATACATACATACACACACACACATATATATATATACACACACTCACACACACTCTCACACACACATATATATATAATATATATATATACACACATATATAATATATACATACACGCAAGGTGTGTGTATTTATTTATTTATTTAGCAATTTTGTATACCAGTCTTCTCCCCTCTATTGGGGGACTCGGGCCGGTTTCCAACAGACCTCACAACTTATGAAGATGCCTGCCATAGATGTGGGCGAAATGTCAGGAGTGAATGCTTCTGGTGCATGGCCATACAGCCTGGAAAACTCAGTGATTCCAACCATGAAAGCCTTCGACAACACATTATATTATATATTTTATTATTATAATATGTGTGTGTGTATATACACACACATATATTATAGACAATATGTTTGAAAGACTAAACAATTGGGATATATGCTGTAAGATAGCCGTCTGCAGAGGAAACTTGAGCTCGCATTTTAAAAAGCAGTAAGAGAAACATAGTGCTTTGTGACATTGCTTCTGAGATGCTAGCCGCATCGGGAGCAGCCTTGCAATGCTGAGTCAAACCATTGGTCCAGCTCAGCACAAGGACTGGAAACAAGGACTGGTGAGAAATCAGCATGGACAGCTCCTCTAAATGCCCATCCAGGAGCCCTGGCCCTGTTTCGTTTCTGGAATGAGTTATAGTCAGGTGTGATGTGTTCCGTGTCCTTCGTGACTTCTGTTCACGTGTTCCATTTTGTGAGCTCACGACAAGTTCATGACAACTTCTGTGTTGTATTTCATTTAATGTGCAATATATTAAAAAGCAAATGCTGAAGACGACTTCTTTTTTTACTTTGTGGATGAAACAGTGGTGACGATATTCACGTCAACTGCAATGTATCTGTGTTGCATATGTAGCCTGGCATATTTGGGCAGTGACTTTGACATAAAATTCAGGGTAGAACTGGTGGTGTCAGCCATTATCACCCGGACAAAGAAAATATGATTTGCCCAATTAGATCATCTTTTAAAACAGTAAAAAGGCTTTTATTTTTTAAAGGTATTGTTGGCACCTTTTTTGCTGACCACGGTGCTCTATAGTCTGTTACTTACTTACTTACTTAGGCAATCCCTCATTGTCAGAATAGGATAATCCTCCAGGGTGGGTCCATAGGTGACTATAGCGCCCTATTCTTGATCTGCATCGTCTCCACAGTGAGGGCATTGGTTTCCAGGTGGAAGGCGGTCCTGGTCGGGGTTGGCTTGACATGCCTTCCTCTTGGCACGTTTCTCTCTTTCGCCCCCCATTCGTGCCTCTTCAAATTCTGCAGCACTGCTGGTCACAGATGACCTCCAGCTGGAGCGCTCAAGGGCCAGGGCTTCCCAGTTCTCAGTGTCTATGCCAGAGTTTTTAAGGTTGGCTTTGAGCCCATCTTTCAATCTCTTTTCCTGTCCACCAACATTCCATTTTCCGTTCTTGAGTTTGGAGTAGAGCAACTGCTTTGGGAGATGGTGGTTGGGCATCCAGACAATGTAGCCGGTCCAGCGAAGTTGATGGCGGAGGACCATCGCTTCAGTGCTGGTGGTCTTTGCTTCGGTACCATTTGTTTACTTGTCTTACCAAAAGATTTGCAGGATTTTCTGGAGGCAGCGCTGATGTAATCGTCGATTCTATAGTCTCACATCTATAGAGCACTTATTTTTCAAACTTTGGTTAGTTTTGTGCAAGAATACCCTTGAAAGACTATGGGAGAATATAGGATTGCCCTATGCAGCCAGTCCCCAAGTTGGGAACAAGATAGATTGTGTAGTTTTGTTCTTCAGTAGAATCTGTTGTGAGTTGGAACAGGTACATTTATAAGTGTAACTCCAGTCACACACACACACAGTATTAGCTTTGGACAGCATAGGGAAGGGTTGACACCCCTGTGGAATACGCTTTGTTACCTGTGCTCGTGTTCAGAAGATTTCACCTCACTTTCTATCCCAGTGAGAATTGGATTTTGGAAATTTTGGCTTGTTGTGGAAACAAGAACTGGTGAAAAATCTTCAGTGGAGAGACCTTTTCCCCATGATAGCTCTTCCAGGAGTGAACTTGCCTTCCTAGGGGGAGATTTTTCTCACTTGCCATTGTCTCAGCCCTGTTCTTATCTGTGAGTTGTTTGTGAGTTGGATGTTTGTAACCCAGGGATTGCATATACTGTTTATAAACTCCTGACATTGCCCCTTATTTTCTCATGACAAATGAGACATTACATTTTGGATATTTTAGAATCTTCAAATCATAGAGTTGGAAGAGGCCTCCAGGGCCATCCAGTCCAACTTCCTGCCATGTAGGAGCACACAATCAACCCCGACAGATGGCCACCCAGCCTCTAATGTTGTACTTATTATCTCATTTGAAGAGGGAGAGGAAGCAAAGGCTTAGGAAAAAGAGAACTCTCATGGCAATGTCACGGATCCTTGGCAGACATTCTAATTCCAACTCTGAAGTTGTTGATCTTCTGGCAAAGGTCAATGATGTCCTGGGCTGATTTGGGACCACCACTGCACCCAAACATTGGGCACGAATGGTTTCCAGGAGATGGGTTCCCTTCACTGCACTGGTGCTACAGATAGGACACACATCTCCATGT